TGAGTGCAAAGGACCAAGAAGATATTCAAGAACAGCAAGTATTCTAATAAGGATGAAAGTTTTGGAGGAGCTGTTTTGTGGGGTTAAGCAGTGTGGGGAAAAGAAAGCTGAAAATAGGCTGGGTTCAGCTACATCACGAGAACTTGACATTCCAGCGTATAGAATTTGGCCTATAGGCAAAGGGGAATATCAGCCCTGGAATTAAGAAAGCAGACCATGGCAACTTCATGAATATAATTTTCAGCTCAGATACTTACTAGCTGTTAATCAAGCTGTGTAATCACTTTATGCCTCAATTTTTCCACCTTCAAAATAAAATAATTATGCACACGCGCACACACACACACATGCAGCCATTTTTGAATTGTTTAAAGAATTAGATTAAATGTGCTAACAACACATGGAGAAGAGAATGTTTATCTTAGTGTCAGGAACATAATAGTGTTTAACATTAATGTTATTTTTTATTGATAGTTGCCATTGTTTGAGCTGAGTTTGGGGCTGTTTATTATGGACAGGTTAAAACAAAATCGGAGAGAATGGCAGCAGAAAGATAGGTCAATAAGGAAATTGCAAAAGAGGCAAGGTAAAATGAAAAGGTGGCTCTGGTTTCAAGTTTCAGTAGACCTAAAGCCTTGAGCCAATCTCCTAACATTTTGAATCAAATCCTATTTTTTGTTAACTATAAAATGGAATAGATAATAACAATGTGGGTGATTTGTGGAGACTATTAGCTCTGAGTAGTAGCTGCTTAATAAATTGTAAATTAAAAAAAATTCCTGTTATAAATACTAGAATATGAGGAAGGGATAGCAATAGTTTGATCCTGAAAGTGGAGAAGAAATGGGTAAGTTTATGGAAGAAAAACTTGTAAATAATTTGTGTCATCTAGACTAGGATGTGATGAATCCATGAAATGATGATTCTTGACTATCCTTTTTATTTTTTGGATTATTTATTTATTAATTTATTTGTTTGAGAGAGAGGGCATGCACAGATGAGTGGGGGGGGGGCAGAGGGAGACAGGGAAGGAGAGAAGCAGACTCCCCACTGAGCATAAGCCCAACCTGCGGGGCTGGATCCCAGGACTTGAGATCATGAACTGAACCAAAGTCAAGAGTCAGATGTTCAACTGACTGAGCTGCCCAGGCACCTCAGGTTCTTGACTATTCTTAATAACAGACAGATGATGATAATTTTGTTATTTCTGGCATTGTCTTATGCACAATGGTGGCCATTTTGTCTGTGCCCTTTGTTTACCTTCAAGGGAAATCTGATAAGTTTTTGGGGCTTCTTGGTAGACACTTAAATTCACATTAAGAATCCGCTGTAAAGCCAAATTTACTTCTTGCCCCATCTACAAACAAGTTCATCTATCTCAATGAAGACTTGTTGAATGATTGTCATGCTCATATTGATCTCTCCCACATCTTATCAGTATCACTTATATTTTATTATATATTGTTCTTTGTTATTTGTTTTGTCTTGCTTTATCCTCATTGATACTATAGTGGGCAGGGGATAATTCTGATATTTCCTTTGTTCTCCCATCATGCCCAATAACAGCCAATTAACCTGGCAAACTTAATTACATGGCTTGGCATCCTTACCTACCAGAGTACACCCAGACATAGGATAATGATTTTTTTTTTTTTTGAGAGAGAGAGAGAGAGAGGCAGAGGGGGAGAGGGAGAATGAGACTCTTAAGCAGGCTTCATGCCCCGTGCAGAGCCCAACACGGTGCTCCATCTCACAAGCCTGAGATCGAGACCTGAGCTGAAATCAAGAGTTAGAGGCTTAACTGACTAAACCACCCTGGCGCCCTGGGATAATGACTTTCAATTCAGTAGATCTATGTAGACGAGCGTGGGGCAGCATAGTTGGTTCTCAGATGCTGTCCCTTCATTGATAAAGCTCAACTCCTCTGTTGTTAGAGGCTAGAAGGGCCTGATTATCTCTCGCTGATGGAGCTTCATGACATCACTTTGGTTTATTTTGGTTCCTACTATTGCTGGTAATCTTGGCTTATGTGATGGCCTCCACTTAGATAGTATATGTGATTTTCTTGGTGTTTATAGAATTTCCTTTCCATCTTGGCCCCTTCTATTCTTCAGAGAAGGACAGTCATGACACCATTTAACCTCACCTTTATTGAACCCATTCTTTTAGTTGTGTATAATTTTGCTTTGACCTGGCAACCTTCTGGGCAACCCTACAACTTTTGTCCATTTCTCTAACTTTTCCTGAAGTTGTGTGTTCCTTCCTCATTTTATTCCTAGGCATGGTATCTAATAATCCTTTCCTTCCCTGCTGTCAAAAAATACTCCAGTAGGCATGCAGTTTGCAGGAAACTCCAACAAAAATAGGTCTAGTCTCTATATTCAGATTTGGCCCAAAATCAGGGGACATATGTCAAGCATAAAAATTGGCTCTTTATGCTCTGCTCTTATATATCAACGAGATGTGAAAATCCAGTCACACTGGCATTTGATCTGGGATCAGAACGATAATTTTACTCTTACTATATTTCTGCTCCCATTCTCTACAAACCTTTCGGAGTACTTGTCCACACCTTGTCTTCCAAAAGACAGGGGAGCCCCTGCCTGTTTTTCACTGGCAGCTAAAAGAAAAGCTTTTCATAAAGAACACTGCTCTCCTCCAAAGGTCAAGGACTCTTTTTTTTTTTTTTTTAAAGATTATTTATTTATTTATGTGAGAGAGAGCGAGAGAGAACACAGAGGGAGAGAGCACAGGGGGAGAGGGACAAACAGACTCCCCGCTGAGAGGAGAGCTCGATGTGGGGCTCGATCCCAGGACCCTGAGGTCATGACCCGAGCCGAAGGCAGACGCTTACCTGACTGAGCCACTCAGGTGCGCGCAGGACTCCTAGTTTTAAACCGCTATCCCTGACCAGGGGCCTCCATCTCCACTCCTCTTATGGGGCTACAGCTGGTCCTACTGTCTCTTTATCAGACCCATGGAAGTGTCAGACCCAAACTGTTAGTGGCCCTTTTTCAAATGTTTGATGCCCAATATTTCTTTTACTTCATTTCTGAACTAAAGATGTATACTATTCTGGGACAACAGGATGTATCTCACCTAACATTGTCTCATACAGCTGAATAATAACATTGACAACAACATATAGCTGAATAATAACAACAAGAAAAAACCAGTAATAACAGTGACAATAATAATAATAATTAGCCACGATTAGCCCAGAAAAGCAGGAATAACTAGAATAAATGAATTCACTTCAATTCAGTAATTAAGGAATTTCTGCTGCTTTTAAAGATACTAAAGAAGATAAACATTATTCAGTTTTAGAGTAAAACTGAGGGGCCTCATCCATTCTTAAGTAGCCTGACCCTCAGGTTAAATGGAATGATTATCATACTGAAACTATGGAAGATAAATAGGTCCATTAATTCCAGACGAGGACAGTGTGATGTTATTCATTTAGGCTTCTAGGAAAGTTAGCAGGACTCATTTTTAGATAAGCCCATCTAAAATCTGTAGACTTCACTATAAGATAATCTAAAGTTATCTTTTCCCTTACATAAGCAAAAGTAAAAAACAACTTCAGGGAACACTTTCCATTTCTTACTTAAGAGAAAAATACTATTTTTCTTGTTTTGACTATAATTTCTGGCCCACTACTTTTCATCTTAATTATAAGAATTACTGATCCAAAGAACTTTCACTTGTACAAAACAATATCAGAGACGGTCCATTCTGTAGAGATGGAACCAGGAAAATCAGAATATATAGAAAGTATGTTTACACAAAATATTCCTATCAGGACAACACATGAAAGTATATGGAAGGGACAACATTCAGTCTATATTCTCATGTGGGTTGAAAATTTTGGAAGTATAATAAACTAACTCTGAAATTGTTTTAGCTGAAATCTAGCCAATGGTTTCTTTTTATATTACTGGATTCGTTGGGAGAATTATAAGCAATTTTCTGTGATGATGAGGAAATATAGCCTCTGAATTCACTTTATTTCACCCATACCATTAAAAACTAAGCCTTGGTGAAAATTCTCTGCTTTACCTTTCAAGTCTTTCTCCATTTAGCAGCTTCCTTACAACCACAAAAACACAAGGGGAAAGAGTGAGGGAAAAAACAATTCAAAAAAGATAGCTAGCTTATGGTCAAAACATCTGGGACAAAGTTGTCCAAAATGTTGTCACAGCTCCTTTGCTGACAATTCATTCCATTCTAGAGCCTTGTCAGACCTCCCAGGTTCATTGACAGACTCTTATATTCAGAATGGCTTTGAAAACTTACAGCACTTAGAAATGCTCTTGAGACATCTAAAAATGTCTTTATTTAGAAAGGAACGTATAACACCTGCCAAATTTGTAAGTTTGAAACCACTTCCAGTAAGAATTAAAAGGCCCTCTTCCTCACTGAAATGGGACTATCAATATATGACTTGTCTGCTCATGAGAAATAGTGGGTTCTTGTCTCTGATGTCGCAGTTTAGTTTAAAATCACTTTCATGATGACAGGGTGCATGAGGATGATAAAACTATAAAGATGACAGTCTAATCTTCAAGGATCACTGATCATTGATAGAAGATTAAATACTGTAAACATCTGAAATGCCAGATTATCAGCTGCTTGGCAAACTCTCAGTATTGAAGTATGCTCAGACATTACTGATAAATGAGAAATGCTTTTCCTATATGTTATGCAGAAATATCTCCTCCTCCTCCAGGAGGGGCAGATGAATTGTAATACCTCTGAATTTAAGATATATATATATATGTGTGTGTGTGTGTGTGTGTGTGTGTGTGTGTGTGTGTGTGTGTGTTTATATATGTGTTTATATATATGTTTTTCTCAATCATGATGAATATGTATAAAATGTTAATAAATGACATACTGTATTGTGCTCAGAATTATTGTTTTCCCTCAGAGTAATGCCCGATTGCTGTGAATTTTAATCATCACTTTTTGGAATTCCAACCAATGTTAAATATACGTACAAGAATGATTAGACATGCTGGTCCTATAAAACTCCAAATAAAGTTGTTTTCTGTGCTAAGCCAACATCTGAAAAGTAAATAATAAATCTATAAATATGTTTGTACGTACTTCACAAAGCAGCATTTTCAATGATACATGGAGCATATTCAGAATTGCATTTCAAATACTTATGAGATCATCTTAACTTACACTTTGGTGGTGCCATAATATCTATATCCCAATGATGCTGAAAATCCAACTACCACAGCCGGGCTGAGATAGCCAAAGATATAAAAATTCTTGTGCAGAAAGCCCTTGTTGTAGATGACGCCCACAACAATGAGATAGAGGTGGATGCCTTCAATGCACATCCATGCAAAGGCAGCTAAAAAGAAATAATGCAGCAGCCCGGCAATGATTGAACAGAAGAGCTAGAAATCAAGGAAAGAAAGAAACCATAAGCATTGTTTGCTTTCACATTAGCATAACACAAAATCCTGACTTTCTCCTCAAATTATGCCACTTGATATAATGCTTGATCATGTTAAAATATCCTCTCATCAAGTGCCAGTTTTTTAAGATGTCCCACTTCCAGCTGAGCTTCATCAATGTGAAGCCTCAATTGTGAAGAAATCCCGTGATAGAACTAAGTTACTGTTCTTGTCCAGAGAGTTATGCTTTTATACATTTATATCATGTGAGAAGTTGTGGATTTGTCACATGTAAACCATGATATCTTAGTGAATGTGTTATGATTTAAGTTAATTTCTGTTTTGGAGATGCCTTTCCTTTCCTTAATTTTATTCATGCTCAAAGAATGAAAATTATTGCTAATACTATGGTAAATGAAATATAATAAGTGTCTTGATTATTGTGGCAAATATTAAGTTTATAAAACAAATGATGATATATTTTGCAAAAATATCCATTATGGAGTCACTTTAAGTTATCAGATTATCAGGCAAATTTGAGATGGATTTCAGTTAGATATTATTTATTAGTACTTCACACATAGAATTGGAGTTAGGCTTATAAGAAATAACAGAAGAAGAAGTACAGTTAACACACTTCTGTACTAATAGAACTAACAATATCTATTGCTGGAAAGAGAACATAATACACACTTACATGCCTATTGCACTTAATAAAAAAGAGTACAATCCAAGCATAATGAGATTATATACTAAACTATATTGGGAGTACTATATAAGGTTGGGAACAGAAAGGTCACTAGTGATCAAAATTTGGGAACTACTTTAGTGAGGAAGTAAGATTTACATATGGCTTGAAAATGGGAAGAACTTGAGAGGTGAAACAGAATTGAAAATAAACACTCTAAGGAATATTTTGGGGTAAGGGTAATGGGGAGATGAAACTGAAGGAGGAAATAGGCACTGGAGGATAGTGGGTGGTACAAAATTGGCAGGTGTCAGGACTACCCCTGCAAAATAAAAAAAAAAATATGAAGTTTATAGTTTAGGGTATACTATTTAAAATAGATGTTTGGTGGCATCTACTTCAGAAGAAGAACTTGATAACTAGGCATTAGTGTCAGTATTTGAAAGATTTCTAACAGGGATGGAAATATGGAGGCAACTTAATGTCTTGTGGTCCTGAGGATACACTTCTCTAGTCTCTACCTGCATGGAGGGCAGCTGACCTAGAGCTCTAGCTGCTGTGTCCTTTCCCACAGGCTGCTACACAGAGGAGTCCCCTGCCACGTGACTCTGGCTCAAGGTCTTCTCAAAGGACTCCTTGCAACCATGCTGAGCTTTCCTGAAAACGGCACTGCTGTGTAAAATGCTTCCACCTACTACTTGTCCTTTCTTCCTTCTCTCCTTTACTCGGGGTCAGACCTGCATCTTGGTCGGATGGCTCTCCAAGTCTCTCTCTTCCCATTATCTCTCAGCCATTTTGCCTAATTAACTTATTGCACGTTGAATTCCATTTTAATGTCTGCTTCTAGGAGGACCCAGACTAACACAATATAGAAATTGTTCTGTAAGGCCCTCCATCAGTAACGGGGGGAGATAGGTAGTTAGGAAAGTGCAGTGACTAGGTGGAGCCAATTTGTCATATTTCAACCTGTGAACCCACTGCTTTTCTATTCAGTCCCTGTGTTAAGATAAAATTTTTATTTCTAATTCTCTTTTTGTCCCTTCTGCCTTTGTTTAATGCCCACGTAAAAAACAAAGCAAAAAATAAAAAAGGCTATTTCTTCAGTATGTTGCTAAGTTTTCATTTGTCCCAATGATTCATCATAACAAGGGACATTGTGCTTAATGAAATTGACAGGCAGGTTTTAGATATGTTAGCATTAGCAAACTTAGAAAAGACTTAGGAATAAAGTATATGGTACGTTTGCCCTTTAAGCTCTTAATTATAATTCGTGATTCTATGACATATATATTTAGGAAAGTACAAATTTAGAAAACAAAATAGAGAGTAAGAGAGAGCTACATACCTTATTAGTATTTGTATTGATCCCAACAAGAAAAACTAGTTCAGCAAGGAAGAGGTTACAGCAGAGATTTTTGTGAATTGTTGTTCTGGTGCTTTGAATTTCACTGAAGAACCAGAAGGTAAAAATGCATATGGAAAGGCAAATCAGTGAAATAATTATTCCTAGTTGAGTGATCCTTGTAAGAATATTATAATCTTTAATACCCTAAGGGAAAATAATAATAAAGCTGTTAAGAGAATAACTCAGTAACTTGTCAAAGGAACTACAACATATAATGAACTTCCTTTTTTGGTGAAACATTAATCAAAATGTTCATAAAATGTAAAAATACAAATGTGCATTTAGATGAGAAAAATTTTGTACCTTCGAAAATGCTCAATATTCAGGGAAATCTGATATAAATCATGTAGCACTTTAAAAGTTCTGTAATTAGTGCTTTTTTTTCCTGGGCATAGTATATATTAGTGTATGGTTTAACAATGTTATCGTCATCAGTTTCATGATATTAGAAAGGCAATTCATTATTGTAATGTGAAAATGGTTAATTAAAACAGATTTATCAGTGGTGATAACAAGTCTTTTTTCTATGCAGCAATTCATCTAAAACACATTAAACAACGGTATCAGAAATGCTGAATATATAGAATATCAAAACAGTAAAGTTGTGAGACTTTGAAATGGGAAAAGTTGGTTTTATTCTAACCAGATGAATATTTATATCTTATACAGAGAGTAGAGGCTTCTTTGCTTACTTAACATTCAGGAAAAAAATCTTTGTGACTGACATTACGGTTAGGCAGATTTATTTGGCCACTTTATATATTTGATGGATTCTCAGTAGACATGGAAATGAACCTGTAATTTAATGAAGATTATGATACAGTGATATAAAATAAGAAACTGTATAGTGTAAAAGAAAGATATTATGGATGCGAAAAACAGCATACACCTACTCGCTGTAGAGAGATCTTTCGTGTTTAAAAATCTTGTACAGTTCTACATTATTAAAACATTGTAATAATTATAAATGCGCTAGTACTTATTGACCTGGTTTCAAATATTTTTAGCTAATTTGTAACTGGTAAAAATAAACTTTCAATACAAAGGCAAAGGCCCTTAAAGACCATGATACATTAAAATGTAAGTGGTTTTTAAAAGCAACATTAAAAATTAAGAGTCAATGGACAGGTATTTAATGCACAACCTACTAGCTATCATAGACTAGGTAGGTCCTAGACAAAAAAAATAACCTAAAATCCAGTCTAAATATGTCATACAAGGCAGGTAAGAAAACAAAGACTAAAAAAGATAGTTTTGGGGTTTTATCAGTTAACTAAATATATTTGCACCCAAAGAAACATAAAAAATTAATTCTCTTGCCTGATGTATGTAAACACGAAAAAAAAAAAGGAAAACAGGCAGGTTTATAAATACAAAATGATGGAAAATTGTCTTACAATGGAAGAACCAGAAGACATCAGAATTGCAAAATGTGTCAGGTGGTTACAGCGGCATGAGGTGTGGGTCTCATTTGAGGACAGCAGCTTGCAGCCCTCCAAAGACCAGCTGCCATTCATCATGTCAGACGAGTAGCTCCAAAATGCACATTGACTCCTATACTTATCTGTGGTCTGAAAAAGAGACATTTTACTGATGGAAAAAAGAGAAAGAATTATACATATAGCATCACACTTCTCATATTTAAAATACCATTTCATGTATCAATATAATTACAACCATGCCTAAAAAGTAAAGCACAAAATCAATGCTAATAAACGAGTGCTGGCGTTCTGTGGAAGAACTGAAGTTACTGCAATAATGCTATATTTTATCAATTCCTGTGTCACAAAAGTTGTGAGAATTATGTATCATCAAATGAGATCATTTAGAATAGTGCAGGACACATAATTATCATATGATCTTTATTTGATAAATGTTTACAGAGAATATACTGGGTATTAGTCATTGACCCAAGTACTAAAAATACAATACTCAACAAAACAGAAAAAGTATTTGCACCGCTGATTTTAGATTCTCATGAGATGAGAAATTATTAAACAAGAAAAATAAACCAGGGGAAGGAGAGAGAAAATAGTTGAGATTGGTCGGAGGAGACCTTTCTAAGGAGATGATATTAAAGCAAATACCCTCAATGAAGTTAGACAGAGAGAGTAAACCCTAAGACTTGGGAACAGAAGGTTCCAGATGGAGTGGAAAATGGAAAAGTTCTGAGTTGAGACTGGATAGGAATCTTCCAGAAACACTGGAAGCCAGTATAGTTCGGGTACAGTGAATGAGATAAAGAGCAGTTGAAGACAAGATCAGAGATAAGGTCTGATTGCATAGACTACAGGATGATTGTTTAATAAATAGAGTTCTCTCTATCACATATTTATATTAAGTGATTATAACATAATATTATGACAACTACCTCCTTTGAGGTAATGGAGAAGTATATACTAATTGGTGAAATTGCAAATAAATTATCAGGGAATCAGGAAACTGAGGGTGTTATATATGAGGTAGCTTCTATTTTTTTTAGGAAAACAATGGGATCCAAATTTTGTTCTCAGAAGGAGGGAAACCATGAATTATGTAGGTCTGTCATCAAAAGAAAATGATAAAAATTCCTAGGAGTCATTAATTTGAATGGGAACAAGATTTGAACAGAGAGGAAGATTAAGGATAACCAAGTTTTCCCATGAATTTTGGTGAAGAATTTTTATTTAAATGTGTGTTGTGTTTTGTTTTGTGATTGTGTCAGAGATTTGTGAAGTGGGTTGTCCTTGGCATCTCTTTAGTTGCCAAAACATTCCACTAGTAAAAACTGCAGAAAAACCCATCAGAGCATGTGAACGAACAATGTTTTAATTCTAGTGTCAAAAGGTCAGTTAGCATCTAAAAATATCTAAGTTTCGTTTCCGTTCTTAAAACATTAAAACATTTCACACCCTCTTCTGAACATAATGCCTACCAATGTTTAGGTTTGAGCTACTATTTTCTTTATCTTCTGTATTTAGTTTCTCTCTACATTAGATGTCTTTATTTACAGTGACACATTTGTACTGTGTGTAAGCATATATGTTCTTTTAGTCCTCTCCCTCCCCCATAAATATGCAAATACAATTGTCCAGCTTCAGGGGTCTCCAAATGGAGTATCAGGGGTACCTTAATCACATACTAGGACTGAAATTCTATCGAAAGTCCAAGAAACCATCAACTGTAAAAAAGCAGCAAATAATCTATGATCTTTAGTTTCCTCATTCATTTTTAGGTATATAAAAAACCCAAATACTTAGTTCTTTCTAGTGTTTATTATGATAGGGTTTTAATTACATATGAGCTTGAAAAAGATCTGAAATAACAATAAAGGAATAAAATGGTCTCAGCTAATTTCTTTATGAAATATTGTAAACTTCTCTGTGATTTTATTTTAATCAAAATTTAAATCCCTGCAAATATTAGTTTAAATGGCAATTAGTAATCAAACAACTCTGTCATTACACAAATGACATTTATCTCTTTGGCTCTGATACATTTTTATAACTCATTCTTAAAAGGTATGGAGACTTCCAAAATGAACAATGTAATTAAAAATAAAATTAAAATATAACAATTTCAGAGAATCAAATGTGTAAAATTCCTTGATATTTATTAGAAAGATTACAGAGCACTGAAAGTACAAAAATGTTTTATAGAAAAATTAGTTGAAACTACTCTTTTAATTTTTAAACTCAAGAATTCACATACAATTAAAGTGACAATAAAAAAAAGTTCTCTTCTCTAAATGTTTCACACTCATAACCAATAGTCACCAGAAAAATAGCTTACCTTCATGTGACTTAATGTAAATGTTATTTTTTCAAGTTCATACAACGTGGGTGGGTTTGAGCTAATTGAGACAGAAATCACTGAAGAAATGACTCTTTCTTCCTCTTCAGAATTATCAGAACTTTGAGGTTCCAGTAAGTTGTCAGATGATGAAAACAAGGGACCGATACTCTTATAATATAAAAATGCAACTGCAACATTGCCTATCAATCAAATAAGTGTATTTAGTGAAATTCTTATAAAACAAAAATATATTTAGGCTTTCAAAATAAACATAAAAATTTAACAAAGTTTTTTACTCTAAGGCCAGTCATGAGAATACCTAGACACTAAAATGTGGATCATAATAAGTGCATGTCTATATAATCAAATCATATTAAGACCTATTCCCTGACCTCCATGACTGTGAAACTGATCACGGATGGTAGCATTCCCTTTGCACAGGCTATATTTAGGAGAAAAATAGTCCTAGATAAATGTATATCCCACTCCTGACTAAGAACCAAGGTGTGAAATGTATTCACTTAAAAGATTAAAATTTGGAGTTACTACTTTGCTATGCAAAGATAGGAATTAGAAAGATGTTGGAAGAAAATTATCACTAACTTGGAGTATTAAGGAAGTTGAGAATTAAACAAGTTGTCAGACAACACTGAGTTCCACCTCATGCCCACTGAAATGTTTCCTCTTTAATATTGATGACATACTGGTATGCAGCCTCCAGGTAAGAAATTTACTGCCTTGCCAGACAGCTATTTATCTCTGCCCCTTGACACTCCACAAATGCAGTAAATCAGCATATAACCCAGTACTAGAAATGCAACCTGATCAGCACAGATTATCATGTGACTATTTTTCCCTTAGCCTAGACATTACACCTATATTAGTGGATCGCAAATTGTCTTGGTTTTTGAAGCAGCTCATTATTACTGATATTAAGTATGTGAACAACTCAAAATCTAGATCTATTGTCTTTTTAAGATTGCTGTTGCCACTTAGGTCATACACTTCCTCTATCTGTTGTACAGAATTATGGACATTAAATTTAAACGACTTTGCGTTCAGAATTTATTCTTGGAATCAAAAGTTCTGTTTTCAGTCATCGTTCCTAGTTGTGTGGCCATGGATAAACTGCTTTGAACTTCAGCTTCTTCATTTATAAAATGATAATAGTAATACTTTAGCTACTTACTAGGCTAAGGTGGAGACTAAATTAAATAATACACGTGTTTTCTGTAAAACTTAAGGTCCTGTATTAATATGATTATTGTTACATTTTTAAACTAGAAACATTATATATTTGCTTTATTTGCTGGGACAACTTACAAAGAACTCTTTTATATTTGCTTCCTCAAATTTGTGACACCAGAATAATGTGAAAGGCATACAGTCATCAAAACCATAAATACAAATGTTGATTCTATCATAAAATACGAAGAACTGTGCCCTCTAGCTGCCATGTTGCGTCACTGCGAGTGTGCACCTAATCTCAGCAGGTCTGCGCAGAACCCCTGAGCGCCAATCCTAGTCCCCAGCGCGGTCTCATTTCCGCTCCAACAAGGTGAAAGAAACTACCATGAACCAGGAGAAACTCGTTAAACTGCTCAAGTGCGCATTGGTAGGAGAGAAACTGCTCGCCAAAAGAAGAGGATGGTCCAGAGAATGGCGCCGAGGAATGATAAAAAACTTCAGTTCTCCTTAAAGAAGTTAGGGGTAAGCAATATCTGTGGTATTGAAGACGTATGTTCACACACTAAGGAACAGTGATCCACTTTAACAAGCCTCAAGTGCAGGCATCCCTGGGGGCGAACACTTTCACCATCACAGGCCAGGCCGAGACAAAGCTGCTGACAGAAATGCTACCCGGTATGTTAAACGAACTTGCAGAGTCTGACCAGTTTAAAGACCCGTTAAAGCTCTGCCCACATGATCTGTGGATGGAGAAGCACCACTTGCTTCTGCAGAGGAGGATGATGATGAAGTTCCAGATCTTGTGGAGAATTTTGATGAAGCTTCCAAGAATGAAGCAAACTGAATTGAGTCAACTTCTGAAGATAAAACTTGAAGACGTTACTGGGAGCTGCTACTGTATATTAGGACAGCTTTTTAAAAAATTCTGTTCATGTCTCTGATAAAATCTAGATCTCTAATATTTTTAAGCCCAAGCCCCTTGGACACTGCAACTCTTTTCAGTGTTTGCTTAGACACAATTTGTTCTTTGCAGCTAATTAAACTGAAGAAGCCTGGGAATAAAGTTTGAAACAAGGTTAATGAAAAAGAAAAAAAAAATCTAAAACAAAGAACTGTGATACAAATCTGAGTCCTTCCACATGACACACAACGTCACAGTAATAAATAATATTTTTGGATATTGCTATGGTTATGTGAACTAGAAATTGCCAAAATCTATCATGATTCATGTTATCTTATCTAAAAAGGTATCACAAGAAACATCGCTAAGAGATTGCTGAAATCTAAGTATATTAGATAAAAGTATTTTCCGTTAACTGCCAGGTTAAGAAAACTTGTATCGAAGAAAGAAATGAAGTTAGTCTAACATGGCTGGGCTAGTGACATTATGAAGAGTCCACGTGATGACAACTAGCCCAGCCTTTGCTGTGGACAGACCAGGGCCTGAAGCAGGATCTGAAAACCTTTTAGGTCAACTTGAGTTAGTCCAATGGATGAACCAGTTCATATCACAGTGACTTCTCAGAAGTTGCAGTAGGAGCTGGTCCAAAATCAAATGAAGCCCCGAAAAGATAAGATGGATCTTTTAAATCTATTAATCACTCCTATCTTTTCTCAAGGAAAATATTTAACATCAAATTTTTGACTTTGGGTAAAATGTGATTCTTGCTGCATAGAATGCTCCAAAATCCCTTCTTAGCTCCGTTCTGAGTATTGTTTCAGTATTTGTCCATTCTCATCATCTGAGCCTCTTCTAATTGCCATGATTTCTCATTAATTCTTGGCTTGATTTAGCTTTTTTTTTTAAAGATTTTATTTATTTATTTGAGAGAGAGAATGAGAGAGAGAGAGAGCACATGAGAGGGGGGAGAGTCAGAGGGAGAAGCAGGGAGCCCGATGCGGGACTTGATCCCGGGACTCCAGGATCATGACCTGAGCCGAAGGCAGTCACTTAACCAACTGAGCCACCCAGGTGCCCCTTGGCTTGATTTAACTTTTAACTCTCTTATCAGATATGTACCTTCATTCAGTAAATGAGGGGCTTATTTGCTAATGACAGGAAGTAAAAATTCAGTCTATAAAAAAAAGATTAAAAATCCACCTGTTCTTCCATGAACCTCCCTATTTTCCTAATAATGACACTATGCAGATTTTAACTTGAAGCGTGTATTTTATTAATGAATATTTATTGGTAAATAAATAATCACATGTAGACATCATAAAGCAGATTTTATCAGTTTGTTAGACTTCTCTCTGTGTTTTCTTGAGAACTGACATTATGGTCTCTTTCAAGTGTCAGTTTGCATGCGTGATCTTCAAATATAACAAAGCTATCATACATTCAGACAGGATCTTTTTGAGAAATTAATTCCATGACAATTTTATCATCTGTCACTATAATAAGTATTTTCAACAGCTCTATTCTTAGCTTCTAAACACTACTCAAATTGTCTTTGAAATTTCAACAGTGTAACACAGTCTTTGGATTTGCTCCTAAATATTATATGTGTGCTTGGTTAATTAGAATATGATGTAATAGGGTAAAAGCCTTGGATTCAGTGGTAGTATGGCTTAGTTATTTTTTCTTTGTTTTGTGGCCATCTGTTTCTTACCATTGTATAAAAATGACAAGAAAAAATGAAGAGGATAATATCAATGGGTTAGGAAAAAAATCCCACATTAGTGTTGTACAAAATTTTTTAAAAGGATGTTCTTCTGAGAATGAATGTGCAGAATATTAAAAAAATAGACACAATATCCATTTATGAAATGATGTCTATACTAGAGACCATACTGTGTTATTATATATACTTTTCACTTATATTTATGACCACCCACATATTCTTTGAGAATCTATTATAATTCACATTTCACTTAGGTAGTGTATTTTGACCTATTTGAGAATGATAACAATTCTTCTGTTGGCAGAGATTTTTTTTTTTTTCTAAGTGCATTGCGTTAAGAGAGCAGATACACGGTTAAAATAGCTGCTTCCTTGCCCTTGATTAGGTGACAAGGAAAAGCTGGTCAGGGTTGATTTCTTTGTTAACTTCCTCCCTTCTAGTACTGGCTCTGTATTATTTGTTGATGTGCACGGAGAAAAATCCATTAACTTCATTGTGCCTTAGTTCCATTATCCATAAAGTGAGGAAATTAGGGTAGGTAGTCATCAAATCGCCTGCTAGTACTGGCATTCCATTTCCCAAGAAATCCTGCCTTTAGTTGAGAAGTTTATGGTACAAAGATGAAGAAATGGCAAGTGGAAAAGAAATCCAAACCTAAAACACCAACTTTCTGTCTTTGGGAACATTGTTTGTTTTCCTCACACAATTATAAATTCAGCCTCCAAATAAGGAATATGAAGGATTACTGAAGAAGAAATAGTAAAAGAATCCTATGCAAATTATAGCACCTATAATTGCTGCAAAAGAAGGAATAAAATCACAGCTCCTCTATATATTTCATTAGAATCTCAACAATATCAAACATCTTCAGTGATTGGGCACAAGACAAGAAGGACATAGATATTGTCAGCTAAAATTCTCACCATGTATTGACATCCGACTGAAAATCTTGAGTACAAAGTCAGAAATTCTGTATATAAACATCAAATATTTTCTATAGGAAACCACACGTTATGTGTACATCTGATACAATCAAAGGCATGATAAGTATTTATTGCAAATTACTGACATATTGAATATAAGACTATCAAAGTCTTACCATATGAATCATATGCAGCTTTTCTCTTTGGAAATATATTTATATAATCTCCATCCACATTCATATAGGGATGAGTATGTTCGATGTGATATGAATCAAAAAAGAAAGTTTTGAGAGCTGAAATAAAACCATGAAAATCATAAATTCTTTGAAGTTAGTTTAATCAATGTATTTGTTTAATGAGGGATAATTTTATCCATCATTATTGTATTTTATCCATCATTATTGTATTTCAACATTTTTTGGCAAGTAGAATGAGCATATTTTGAACATGCTTAGACATTATAATTTATATCTTAAAAATCTGATTCAAGTTTTAACTTTTCTGATTGCACTGTAACACTCATGGTTTAATCTTTGTTGGATTAAGTAAAAGACAAAATACATATGTACACAAGGGAGCCGTAAATTATAATTACTAAATCAAAGACAAGCAACCACAATGTCTTAGAGGGTGGTATCTATAATAAAATTTACTATATGGAGAGTGATTGAATTAAATTCTTGAGTGATAATTTCTTTACCTGGGATTGTTCACCATTTTTATGCAAGAATATCACAGACATGCAGGGATCCTATATATTAGTCATAATGCTTGCTACTTTAATTTGGATAAGTGGTGAATCATGATACGAGATGGTGATTCTTGCATACTTATTGCTGCATAGCAAGATGTCACCCACACAATATAATATAGATGTATGCAATGATTATCAGAAAAATTTCTTTGTTTCCTCAGAGCAACTTTATAGGCATCTTTAATTTGATTCAAGATTCTGAATGTTTTGAATAGGAGATTGCATGAAGCAGGAAACATTCTAGTTTGCTAAGTTGATTGCTTCATATCAGAAAATCTGTCTAGAACTATCTTTGGCTAAGGTAGATCCTAACAAGTCATGAGATGACTAACTCAAAATGACAAGGGAGTAATGTACTCTGAGCATTTAAATGCTAGACAGCTCAGGAATAGGACAAGGTGAAGATTGTAGGAAGGAGGCAATATTATGTATTCATCCTTTTTACTCATACTTCATTCATATTACTCTTGTAATGTACATTGCCATTCATTTCTGCATTGATGAAACAGGTGACAATTTAATTAACAGTATTTTAAATACTTTCTTTCCCTTTTGAGAATGGCCTGTTCAGCAAACACTGTTGTTTTGAAATTGACCTTGGCTCCTTACCTATATCACTTGAATTAGTATCGAACTGAGTGGTCTTTTGGAAGTTCTGAGATATCCTTAAGGTAGCCTGTTCAGCAGCATGCATCAGTTTTGTGAGATGAGTTCTTCTACGATTCATAGATAACTTGTCCCAAACTATAAATACGTCCTTTTGAACAAAATTATTCACAGTTTTTACAAATTCCTGTTGAAAAAAAAAGTGTGTCTTTTAAAAATGTTGGAATCCATGAATCACAGATGTAAGGAAAAGTTTAAAGCTCAGTTATATTGAGTTAAAGCTCAACATACTTACAGTAAGAGTTGAATTAGAAAGGGTGTCCTTGGCTGAATTAGTGCTATTCATGGCACCCAGTAATGGGGATGATTTAGCTAATATTTCTATATATGTAATTATATCCATCGGTGAAAGATCTTTCACAGAATCTCTATAGACTTCTTGTAGCAAAGCCACAGGTTCCTTTATGTGTCTAAACTGTACAAAAATGAGTCCAGAAAAAAGAAACCAATTTAGAGTACTACTGGATCTTTTTAAGAATAAAGGCTGTATGTTAAATTTATTCTAAGTTTGGTTTTCTTGTGCTAATTGTTAATAAGTTATCAGACTACACCTAAACCATAACATGCAGCACTGAAACTTGAAATTATTTATAAAAGGTTAGCAAATAAAAAGTATAGAAATTAGAAAAGAAACAGAATGTTTGAATTAATAACTTTTAAAAATTAGCTTTTAAAAAGTTATAATATATGATAATGTATTTTGAATTAGATTTTAATCAACCAGAGAAAATTCTTTACAATGTGATATATTGGAAATTTGTTTTTAGCTCACTGTTTGTCATGTTGAGAGTCACACTTTCAATCACATGACAATTCTGTGAATGTCCTACTTTATTTACTCTTTGAAACATTTCCTTTGAAGTACAAAATTTCCTTGCATTCATTATGTCTTCTTAGAATATGGGAATGGGCCTGGGGTCAAAGTGTGTTTTTATTATTATATTCATCAACTTTCTTTATATGTTGAAAACAAAATTCCTGGTATACTAAACAATGAAAAAGTAATATACATTAAATATCTCAAAGTCTTCCTCAATACTTTGGGGATTTTCAAATTGATCGTTCCTGTGACTCAAACTACTTAAATCTCTATATGTAAATAGTTTCAACTCTACATGAGGATCAACTGGTTGTTTTTTTATTTAAAATGTTACGTAGGAAGGATTTTAATGGAAACCAAAATGTCAAAATATAATAAATTCTTAATCTAACTAGTTTACTTACTTTTGTTAACATTCTATCAATATTTGCAGCAATACAGGCATTATCTAGATGGCAGTTCGCACTCACATTTTCTGTAAAAAAAGAAAATAGATTCTGTTTTTTTTAAATATTTTTTCCTGGGGTGCCTGAGTGACTCAGCCAGTTAAGCACTTGCCTTTCTGCTAAGGGCATGATCCAGGAGTCCCGGGATCTACCCCCCCGCATCGGGCTCCCTGCTTCTCCTTCTGCCCCTCACACTGCTCATGCTCATGCTCTCTTGTCTCTCAAATAAATAAATAACATAAATAAATGAAATATTTTTTCCTAAGATGATTATATTGATTCCAATAATTTTACTCCCTTATTTAAATGTTAAAAACACATTCTTAACACCTGAGTTTTATTTTTTGTTTTACTCGTTAACATTTGCCTTTTTAATTATTTAAAAAAGTTATTCATAATGAAATACACGTTTATTTTCATTTTATTCGTTTATTTTTCCTTATTTATTTTTATTTGTTATTTGTTTTTATTCATTAGGATACACAATATTTTATGGAAAATGGAAGACTGTAATTACCCTGCATGTTAACTACATATGTTAATACATAAAACATATGGTCTACTTCTTCCATTAAGTAGAAACGATACTTTTTCTTATTTCATTATATAGATAATAATGGAATACTGGCACATTTCTGGGTGCCTGGGTGGCTCAGTTGGTTAAGTGTCTGCCTTCGGCTCAGGTCATGATCCCAGGGTGCTGGGACTGAGTCCCACGTCGGGCTCCCTGCTCAGCTGGGAGTCTGCTTTTCCCTCTACCCTTCTCTCAAACAAATAAATAAAATTAAAAAAAATACTGGCACATTTCTTAGAAGATGTAGTTCTTTGTATGCTTTACTACTGTGTAGCATTATATTTTATATAGTTCTTCGATAATACATAAAATATAATCATATGACTTACCTTGGCAGTAAGTGCCATCATTAGGTGTGAACTGTGCTTTTCCTGTGGATGTCTGATAACCTTCCTTGCAGGAGCAATTATACCCACCATCCACATTTTCACACAGTGCTTGATCTCCACAGGCAGCTGATTCACTGCACTCATCTATATCTGGAAATATTTGAAAAATTAAATTTTTTATTTAGTACATATACAATTGGTACCTTGCTGATACAGTTATATATGGTTAATGATTTCATCAAATTTTATAAGAAAGTAAGGAAAATTCCATCATTTGGAAAACAACAGAGCAAACTTAGCTGCATATATTTTTTTTTAAACCCTGATTTGGTCAATCATTTTGAATGGATTTAATGAATATTAAAAAATGTCATTCATGGATCAAACTCTTGAATTATTTTCTGAGTAGAATGATTCATCCACAAAGTCATTAAAATAACTTCCATCATTGACAATTTAACATTTAGTCCTAATTGAATAAAGACCCAATTTTTAAAATACATCTAAAATTCTTTGTTTTCTACTATTAAACTAAATTTTAGATTGTAACAGCTCAGTTTAATCTGGAGGATAAAAAAGAATAGCCCATTTTCTTTCCAAAGCTTCATTTTTGCACATAAGTTATTCTAAAAATTAGCAAAATGTGTGATTCAACCCCCTTAAAATTTTACCACAACTTATTACTTTTGTGCAGGTTATATTTTACTATGATTCTGAATACACAGTCATCATAGATAAAGTAACAAATTGTACAGAATTAAGTCTTAGATTTTCAGTAGTCATATATCAGAGTCACAGTAAAAATGTTAGGTTTTAAGCTCATATAATTTATATTCTTAATTTAAAATTTTACATACTGCAGTGAAATATGTCTTAAAGTTATAAATACAGTATAAATACTCTGCCAGTAGGCAGAGTTCCAACAGGGAATGATTCCAAGGAATGGAAGAGTCCAGATCATTACCTTAAGCTAGTGCAAAGATTTTTGTGTTCCCAGCCTGGCTCTGACATCTTAGAGATACTCTATGTTAGATTAATGAATAAACCTGTAATCTTAAGTATAAAATTTGATTTTTTAAAAAAACTAATAGAGTGCTACAATACTGTTTGCCATAAAAAAAGGGGAGTAATCAAAGTCCAACTTAAAAGGTCATCTAGCTAGTTATCTTAAAAGTAGTTGATCCTAATTTTTCACTTCAAAAATGCAATGAAGGCACAGAATAACATTAAAACTCAAACCACCAAAAACTGAAACTGACAGCAGCCTCTTGGTAGTTCTTGAAGAAATGTCCATTAGCTAGAAAGGCAATGGTACTAGATTTAAGAAGACAATTCATAGGCCCGAGAAAGGGGTAGAAAACTCCTTGTTCTTCTGCCAAGCCTATATATTCATAATCTGCACTCCCCAGAGAGCCAAGTATACTACTTTTCAAGAAACAGGAATACTATCCTAGCACCCTCAACCTCTTCCTCTGATTTCTGTATATGTGTGTTTAGAGACTGCCACTACACACACACACACACACACACACACACACACACACACACACACACACACAGAAAATAAAGTAGGGGATAAGCAATAGCAGGTTGATTCTTAAGATATAGTGAACCGTCAAGGAAAGCATTCCAGGTAAGGATAAAAAAAAGAAGCTATGTGGAAGCGCAGACTGGGGTTATTATTTTTCATGAAATCCATGAGGTGAGAAAAAATATACAAGAAAACAAAAGACTAGTCTTTCTGGAGCAGGGCTGAAGAAGTAGCATGTATTATACCCAAATGGGGATAACACCCCAATGAAGATGTGAACAGACCTATGTGGTATCATAAATAGAACAATTTATTTTATGAATAAGAAACATGTTTTATGAATGCCCACATTTCCTATTTTTAGATGTCTTATATGGCTAACAGGAAATGAGGTGCTGAATTCTCTCAATTTTAAAATTATTTAAAGGTGCAAATTTTCTTGGGAATGTTGTCCCAAACCCATCTCTAAGCAACATACAAATATTTTTTTTAAAGATTTTTATTTTTTTATTTGACAGAGAGAGAGGGAACACTAGCAGGGAGAGTGGAAGAGGGAGAAGCAGACTCTCTGCTTAACAGGGAGCCCGACACAGAGCTCCATGACCTGAGCCGAAGGCAGACGCTTAACAACTGAGCCACCCAGGTGCCCCAGCAACATACAAATCTTGGCAAACTCAACGTCCATCCTCTCTCTTGTATTCTGGACACAGGGGTATATAATCTTGTTGCTCAGAACCAACTGTGTTTTAGTTTTTCTCTGTGCATCCTCCACATCCGTGGTGCTTGTTGGGTTTCTGCTCTAGTTCAAGCCTTCCTACCACCACTCACTTAGCTAGTTATTATCCCAAAATGTCAGCCTTGGACCAAGTAGGGAATTTCAACCTCTGAATTCACCAAGCAACAAAATGGTAATCTGTAAAAAAAAAAAAAATAAGGAGGTAGTCTCCTGGGAGACCAGCATTCAAAATTAGGATTATGCAAATTTTAATATTCTGACTCCAAATGTTATACAAGAATATTAATTAACCTACCAAAGTAATGCTTTTCAAATCTTAATCAACCCATCAAAGTCATGTTTTCCAAATTGTTTGGACTTTTCTTGCTTATACTTTTTGATTTTATAACTTTTTACTCAAATGTGGAAGTGAGGTTTGCTGAATTTGATGTCCCTCTCACTCTGTTTATTGAATCTAACCCAGTGACTGGCTATGCCTCTACTTGTTAGCCTATCACTCTATGCCCCTTGCTACCTAGTAATATAGAGAGAATCATAAAATATTGAAAGAGTATGCCATGCCAAAATGAACATGACTGCTATTTTGCAGCAAGATCTACACCCACTTCTCTGGCAATCTCTTGCAGGGCCTCATTAGCTGGAATCGAATAAAAACACTATGTATCCTTCTTCCTACAGGTAAAGGCCCTGTAGAAGATTTTAATTCAAATCCTAGTTATAATACTCATTAGCCTTGTGACTTTAGGTAATACTATTAAAAATACCTTTTACCTTAAAAGAATTCTTTTTTAGAACAAATGAGGAAATGTATGTAAAGGTGTTTTGAAGTTGTGCCCAAGATATAATAGGTCCAGTGATTCTATTCATATTGTGTGTTTTCTCATAGTAGGAGCCCTGTGAATATGTAGGTTTGGAGAAAACAGATCGATAATGAGTGTCTCATTAGATTGCCATGTCTTAGTATTCCCCAGATATGTAAAAGAGGAAAAGAACCCCCACCTCATCTTAATAAAAGTTAAATTGCTATTATGTAATTATTTCAGTCAGGCTAGAATTGACATATCATATTTAATAACTGATCCGCTTTTTCTGCCACCAACCTAACACTCAGCTTAATACTAATAATTTGATTTTGCCAAATGTAAGCACATCATAACAATCATTTGCTTGTTTTGCACATCAAAAAATTCACTCGCTCCTTTTTCATTAGTAAAGTTATGCTTGTTTCTCATGTTTACAATGAGCCAACCCAGCAGCAGTTTATCGTAATCTTCTTTCAATACATGATCCTATGATTGTTTTGATTCTTATCATTTTCATCAATAACTGAATTGTCTAATGTTTAACTCACAGACTGTGAAAAAAAAGATAACACATTCAATTACTGAAAGTAATTTGCAAAGACAAAACTGAATGTTAATATTACTCAAAGCCAGAAAAAAAAATCTGAAATTATCAGCGTACCCAAGGCAATAGGACATACAAAATTATAAGCAGTAAACCCTGCTCTTCAGCATGTGGTAAATGTGAAGGAGTTCTTGGGTTGTACTCATTTGGCCTTGGGAGAATTCACTGTCTTATTGGATGCCTCGGTTTTCCCATTTGTGAAATATGAGTCTGGAACCAGGTCTCTTGGGAGCTAGGGATCTGAAATTCTGTTTTACTGTAATTCTAAGGGAAAGCCAATGTTCAGGATGCTAAATTTCCCTCAAAGCCTTCTGCAACAAAATTACCTTCTCTGTGGACAACAGTATTTGAATACAGACTAAAGGTAGATAATTTTGCTTGGGTCATTTCTTGCCCTGAATTGGGGTTTTTCATGATCTATTTATAGAGGTTCTTAATGAGTATAATTACCAGACATGTTAAATTTAAGGATAAGCTAAACTTTCAAATCAGACGCAATACAGTACAAGGTGATATACTAACATAAAAAGAAACAGAATTATAGTTCTCGTTCAAATTCCCTGAAGATTATCATAGCGCATAATGAAAATTACTATAGGACTAGAGAGGGGGAAAAAGAAATAGTTGTTCTGCTGCTCAAAAAAGCTTAATCCTTAAGGACAACAAAATTGGTGAGAAATAACCATTTTCCAGAGAATGAATTTTTCAGTGAATAATCCATCAAACAAAACAGGTAGAAGCTGAAGGACTCAATATTGGGTGCTGGATTTTAATATAGTTCTTGTGTTTACTGATGACTTAAAATAGCTAAAAAGGGAATTAGCCAAAACTTATGCCCATTCCACAGTATCTCAATAATAAATGAGTATTGGGAGAAAGAGTCTGAAATTACAAATATGTTATACTTCCATAAAACGTTGGCATTCAATCATCTCTTTGTGTGTGAGTTCCCTCTGTGTCTGTGATTCCGTTTTTTTCTAATGCAGGAATTCTCTACTTGTAGGGAACACAGACAGAGAAATAGAGCCTTTTGTGAATTGAGGCATATTAAAAGTAAACACACTCAGATGAAAAGACAGATGTCTTCAAGAGACAAGAGGGAATGGAGAGCATAGTTAAAATTGTATTAAATTCCAGTGATTAAGATGTTGTAAGTTCTAATTTCTTCACTAACTGGAACAATTCTAGTAAAGCTTACAGAGCTCTATAATTAGAACTTAACAACTAAAGGTAAAATGCATATTATACACACATAACATTCTAAGAAGACTAGCAACTAAAGTAGGGGCTTGAGAAGAACAAATAGTGAGATATTACAAGTTTTCTGGACAGAGCTTCATAGATTACTTCCTGAATATACTGTAAAGTTATATACTATAAAACTTTTTGCTGAAAACACTAAAGATAAAATTTATCCTTCAACACAAGGTGTCTGGGTGGCTCAGTCAGTTAAGGGTCTGCCTTTGGCTCAGGTCATGATCTCAGGGTCCTGGAATCCTGCCCCACATTGGGCTCCCTACTCAGAGGGAAGCCTGCTTCTCCCTCTCCCCCTGCCCCTCCCCCCAGCTCATGCTCTCTCTCTCTCAAAAATAAATAAATAAAATACTAAAAAAAATATCGTTCAACAAATATTGTCCTCTTTTCTCATATTTTAAATCCTTTATGCCCTTGCGCAAACATGATCCACTGCATTTGCATGATTCAGATCAATGCATAAGATTTAGATGGCCACCCATTTTTGCCTCCTGTGCCTTTCCAGATACAAGACTGTGATTCTAATCCTCCCTTTATCCTAAACATGTGAATCTGGAGTAGCCTCCACATCCTTTGGCTATCAAATGAGAATACATTGTTTTCTGTTTATTTAGCAGAGTAAATGTTGTGAAACCATAAGTACATGAGACAAGATAATTTCTTTGATACAGACATTTCACTGATAAAATTTCTTTGAACATTGTCTCCTAACTTATCATGTGTTAATAAGAACATTGTTAGATTTCTCCTTAGCTTACTGACAAGAATCTCGGTAGGGACCTAATCAAAGCCTTCAATGTGATCTAGATTAACTTCGCTATCTCTCTTTTATCTAACTATGTAAAATAGAAGCAGCACATTACCCTTGTCCACGTTGCATATAGTCTTGGTTTCTAGTCTAATTTCTTCTCCTGGCCAATACTTCACTCTCAGGGCCTCAGTTCATGTATTAATTTTGCAGATTACTATCGGCCATATTAAATTAAGCTAGTTGTTGGTAAATTGGACAGTTTTGTATAAACCATGGCGAAGATGATTTATAACTTGCTTTCAAAGTTTAAGTCTTTGGCTCCAGAGAATTTGCCTCTGAAAATTGTTCATCTTGTTGAATTTACTAAACAATCTTTTTTTCTCAGACTGTAATCCAAATATTGTAGGATCTGGTATATCAAATGCATGACCAAATTATAATAGAAGGACATTTAAAAACTTCTAGATACTCTCTTCAGACTTAGAATAATTTCACATAGGGATTTAGTTGAAATTATTATCATTCCAGAGGACATTTTAGTAAGCCTGAAATGATTTTCTAAATAGGACTCTATTTAGAAACTAAAAACATTAGTTTTTCTGAACATTAATAGTTACACTTCATGCAGGTCTTAAGTGTAACTACCTTTCAGCAGACAATACTAAAAGCACTAGAACAATTCTTTTATAACTAATGCCTTTCTGAATATTTTCTGAGAAAAGGTGGAGCCCATTTCAGAGTGCATATTTATAAAAGCATCAATATCTTGGCATGCAAATGATAATTTTCTTGAGTCAACATATAAAAGTGTAAATATTTATTCTGTTGTTTGTCACCATGCTAGATCTCATACTTTCATGATTTTTTTCTCATCAACTGCTCGATTTTCTCCCCCAAAACATTTTCCTTACATCCTTAGATAAATATGCCATAGTATCTGATTATATAGCATTAGAGAACTAAAGGAGTTGATGAAGTTTCTTTTTTTTTTTAAAGATTTTATTTATTTATTCATTTGAGAGAGCGAGAATGAGAGAGAGAGAGAGAGAGAGAGCACATGAGAGGGGGGATGGTCAGAGGGAGAAGCAGACTCCCTGCTGAGCAGCGAGCCCGATGCGGGACTCGATGCCAGGACTCCAGGATCGTGACCTGACCCGAAGGCAGTCGCTTAACCAACTGAGCCGCCCAGGTGCCCCAGTGAAGTTTCTAAAAGTATTGCACAACTAGGGTACACTCAGGGACTGGTAGAATTTGGTCCAGATAATATCTAATCTCTGGAGGTAATAAGCAGTAAGAGATAGGACAAATTTAAGTTAGGTAGTCAAACTTACCTATGCAGATGGTTCCATCATTAGTGATAAACCTGTCCTGGTTACTGCTGGATCTGAAACCGGGGGCACACATACAGTAGTAACTTCCCTCTGTGTTAGTACAGTTGGCATTTTCACCACAGGGCTGGGTCAAATTTCCGCACTCATTATCATCTGTGGAAATATCAATTTAAAACATTATTTTTATATAATTGAAATTAATTTCTAATATTTTCCACCAATATTTGGGAACTGTGACTGTTAAATAGTTTAATGTAATGCGATGTCAATATTTAGGAAAAGTTAACAGTACATATTCTGCACTTATTTTTATTTATAATGTGACACTTCCTTTGTAGTTGCAAAGCAAACAGAATCTATTACTTCTGAAAACAATGAACACAGTTATGGAAAACATATCAGAACATGTTCAAAATTTTATATGTAATTTAATAATAATAACGTCAATACATTATACTCCTTTGTAAATTTATAATACTCTCTATAATTAGTCAAAAGCATACCATAAGTTAAAACATCAGATATTACAAATTGACATGTTCTAATCATGTACCATTTGTTTTTATTACTTATTCCCTAGAAGAATTTTGCATTACTAGGTTGACATCTCTTAACTTATTAATGAATTTATTCATTAAATACTATGTGCATTTTATTGTCCTATAGAAGAGCATACAAAAAAACATATCATAGTCCATGGTCCTTACCTTCTAGAATTTAATACAGTTTGTCAGAAAATATATAGGTTCATAAGCCTTTGTAAAAATCAGAAAGCAAATTTATACTACCCATCAAGTAAATAAAACAGAAAATAAGTGCTTTTCAGAAGTGATCATAATAGGCTGGAGGACGAAGAGAATATCTTCAGGTGACATTAAGTCTTGTGGGTTGAATTATGTCTCACCAAAAGATAGGTTCAAGTCCTAATCCTGTGTCTTGTGAGTATGACTTTAGAAACAGGCCCTTTGCAGATGTAATCAAGTTAAGACGAGGTTACACAGAATTAGGTGGGCCCTAATCCAGTGGCTGGTATCCTTATAAGTAAATATATGAGAAATTTGGACATGAAGACACAGGGGAGAAGGCTCTGTGGAAACAGAGGAAGGGCTTGAAGGGATGCAGCTGCAAGCCAAGGGATGCCAAGAACAGAATAGCTGGCAACCACTAGGAGTTAGAAAGGATTCTTCCCTAGGCCCTTTGGAGGGAACATGACCCTCCCAACACCTTGATTTCAGACTTCTAGCTTCCAAAACTGGGGATGCTATGTTTGTGTTGTTTTGAGCCTCCAAGTTGGTGCTAGTTTTCAAGGCATCCTTTGGAAACGAATGGACCCGAACTGGCCAATTCAGGGTAGGTAAGTATTGGTCAGAGAGAAGACAGGTCATGGAAAGGAAGACAGAATGTTGGGCAAAGAAGCAAGCATAAGGTAACTGAAACACTTCTGAAGTTAGAGGGAAGCCAAACTGGGGAGCACAGAGAGAAACCACAGGGGAGTCGCTCTAAAAACAAGTTTGAAAAATATCTTTAATTTTTATCCCCCATTTTTATCAAACCAAGTTTAATTTCTCCTTAAGGATGAACTGTATGACATTTAATTTGTACACAGGCTATTGCAGACATACAGTGATAAGTAAGAGTTGGAGATTTTTCCAAATGTTTTATAAATATGAATTCACTGAATCCTTATGTAAGCTCTAGGAAGAAGGTACCATTGTTATCCCGTCTAACTGCTGAAGAAAAGAAGGAATAGAGAGAAAAAGTAACTTGCCAATATCACACAGCTATTCAGTTGCAGAGCCAGGTAGTTTGGTTCCAAAGCCTGTTCTCTTAACTGTTGCATCCTGCTGCTTCTGTGAGACTTATTTTAAAATGCCAAAATGTAAAATAAGAATTTATCAAATGAATTATGGGTCTATTTTGAGAGACGGAAAGATACTGAGATAGTGACTTCTGAAAGAAAATGGAGACTTTATTTGCATGCTATTTTTTTTTTATTTGAGAGACAGAGAGAGCATTCGTGGGGGGAGGGGTAGAGGGAGAGGGACAAGCAGCCTCCCTGCAAGCCGGGCTTGATCCCAGGACCCTGAGATCATGATTTGAGCTTAACCAACTGAACCACCCAGGCACCCCTGCATTCTATTTTTTTTTAAGATTTTATTTATTTATTTGAGAGAGAGAGAGAGAGAGAGAGAGAACACGAGAGGGGGGAGGGTCAGAGGGAGAAGCAGATTCCCTGCTGAGCAGGGAGCCCGATGTGGGACTCAATCCCGGGACTCCAGGATCATGACCTGAGCCGAAGGCAGTCGCTTAACCAACTGAGCCACCCAGGCACCCCTGCATTCTATTTTTTTTTTAAGATTTTATTTATTTATTTGAGAGAGAGAGAGAGAGAGAGAGAGAGAGCACGAGAGGGAAGAGGGTCAGAGGGAGAAGCAGATTCCCTGCTGAGCAGGTAGCCCGATGTGGGACTTGATCCCGGGACTCCAGGATCATGACCTGAGACAAAGGCAGTTGCTTAACCAGCTGAGCCACCCAGGTGCCCCCCTGCATTCTATTTTTAACTTAAATTTTATTTCCACTTACTCATTTTCAAACACTAAGGATATACGTATAGATGTTAACATATGGTAGAAACTAGGGGTGAATTCCTCTCTTTTTTCAAAAATGACTACTATGGACAGGTCAGGTAAGATTTGCAAATCCTATCCTTTCAAGATATTCAACCTATATAGTTCTATTCCATAATTTTATTTTAATATTTATATGCTTTATCACTTTGACTTATTATATTAATTATAATAGGCTAAGTGCTATAAATGTATCCAAATATATAATGGCTCAGTACAATAAAAAGATTATTTACTGCTCTAGTCAGAGACCAAGGTTAGTGTTCCGGTCATTCTTTAACAATGGTTCAGGGACATAGGCTTGTTCTATCTAATGGCTCCACCACCCCATAGGGCCTCCAGGCTCTCTGTATTGATCCAGGTAGGGAGTTAGGGTAGAATAGGGCATAAAAGAGACCATCACTTTGGTCCACATTCTATTCACCAGAATTCATTTAAATGGCCACACTTGACTATAAAGGAGGCTGGTGGCCATAGGCCAGGAAGAACAAAGAAAAGATTTTGACTAGTCAGAGCTTTCTGCCATATTTATTCTTTCACGAATACAATGACATTTGAATAATAAAAGCAGACATATATGAATACCAAAAAAATTTACCAAATATAAGAAAATCTAGTTGATTAATACCAAACATATGTAAATTAATTGACTGGAACACAAAAGGGAAGATAACATTGTATTTTTGAAGTTACTGTAATTTCCTTAATCAATAAATATCATTTAAATTAGGCATATCCATTGCATTAATAGCTTTTACTCTTCCCTTGGCCAATCACTTATTTTGTATGTTTTCGATTTGTTTTGATATTTTGATATTGTGCCTCTGATGGAGGCTCAAAGAAGAACCATGGCCCTGCCTCTGCCCTTCAGAATCTGGGCATCTTGACAAGAGGGAAGGGGTAAGCAGAGAACAGAGAAATGCATATGTGGTGAAAGAAGACTCTGCAAGAGTAAATGATGGCCTCATTCCTTTTGCTCAAGTGGGGAAAGAGGACAGAAGAGATTTATGGAGTCTGGAAGGATGAGGTTTTCGTGCATTACATTTTTATATAATTCTATTTGGACATAATTTTACATATTATGGAACTATTAAAAAATGTTATGGAAGGAGAAGGAAATAATGTAATTGATGTCTTTTCACCTCCCACCTGACTACAGGGTAGTTTCTTACCTTACGGCATCCATGGGAGCACGTTTTAAGACATGGTTGTCTGACATGATTACTACCATTCACTGAAGGCTCCCAATGAACCAGGCATTGTACTAAGCACTTCATATACATTATCTGACACTCGTTTTTAATCCTCATATAAACCTAATGATGCAGACATGATTCCTATTTTACAAATAAAACTGAAATATAAAAAGTTGGATTACCTTGCCCAAAGGCACACAACTAATAAGTGGCAAAGTTTGATTCAAGACTGGAGCTTTCTGAATGTCAAAGTGATCTCATTTTTCTTAAATACTACATTATAAAAGAGTTCATAGTGGTAATAGCTACCATTTATTGAGTGTTTATTATGTGCTAGTCACTGTGATAGAAAGATTACTGTAAAATGGAAAATACGTTGTGACTACCTCAGAAAATTGTCATGAGGACTAAAGAAATTGATGTTCAGACAATTCTTAGAGTGGTGCCTAGCATGTAGTAAGCACTATGTACAGGCTGTTAATCTCCTTATTTAAAAAATATTACTATTGCTATTTAAATTGCTAGAAATCTGGTCCTGTTAACACCCTGCTTAAAATTCTTAACAGCTACCTGGCTTTAGTGTGTAATGTTATCTCTTCTCTATGTGGAAGGGAGCTTCTGAAATCTGGGAACCAGTTTAAACCACTTATCTTTACACAGTTATAACAATAAAGATATTTGTAAAGACTTTATAATGTAAGATCTTACAATTAGTTTTCCCATAGTTCAATTTTTAAAATTTCAGTAATTTATTTTATTATTTTTTAAGAGTTTATTTATTTATTTGAGACAGAGGAGAGAGCAAGCATGAGCAGGGGGAGGGGGAGAAAGAGAGGAGTCTCTCCTGAGCAGGGAGACTGACACGGGGGTTCGATCCCCAGACCCTGGGATCATGACCTGAGCTGAAGGCAGATGCTTAACCGACTGAGCCACCCTGGCACCCCAAGTAAGATAAATTTTGAATGGCTTTATATAAACTGTGCTGAAAGTTAATACTTTATGAAGAGGTAATACTTTATTAACTTGTGTGTATTTAATTATTAATTTATTCTGTATACAAGATATATTCTACAACTCTAATGACAATATATACATATATACTCAGAGCAAGCATATATGTTTATGTATGTATACACAAAAAACTATTAAAATTAACTGAGAGTAGCTCACAAATTGAACACAATCATTTAAATCAAGTAAAAGAAAAATATTTCATAACACAGGGTTTGATTCAATCATTTAGTTACTCAAATATTTATGGAGTCTCCTAGTTCCCAAATGTGAATATGGTCTATACTGGGAAATAAGTAAAAATTAATCAAAAAGTCAG